ATGGTGTTTCTACCACCATTCATGTAAACCAACAATTTTCTTAAAATCTTTCAGGACAGGGTATTTCTTGATAAAAGACTGGATAGGTATACTTACTGTAGTACACAAAAATTTCCGGTATTCTTCATGCCACATTCTATGCAAACACTTTGTATTAGTGTTCTACTTAAGTATATATTAATAGAACCTACTGTCCCTTTGCTATCATTACTCTTATCATATACCCACATTTTCATCATAATTTTCAGAACTAATACATTTACAGACTATTAAAATATATCACTCACAATTATAATAATAAAATAATATTAAAAGATTTAAAACATCATTTAAATACACTACTAGTTTCGGCTACATTCAGCCATCGACGGGTGTATGCTGTATAAACCTATCACCATTTTACTGATTTATAACGTTATTCATATTTCACTGTCTTCATTCTTGATGGTGTTCTTGTTCTTTACCGTTTCTTGTTTTGTTGCACTATCATTAGTCATTACTGGGTTTACATTTTGTACTTTGTGTTGGCATCATTTTTGTGACTGTGAAGTAAAGTTTTAATTCCATTAATGGCAATTGAAAATAGAAGATATAGAATATAGAAAACAAAATAATTGGTAAAAATAATTGGTAAAAATAAATAGTAAAAATAATAAAAAATAAAATGTAAACTCACCCAAGAAGCAATAGCACATTCGTAGTAAGTGAACGGAGAAGACAGTGAAATATGAATAACGTTATAAATCAGTAAAATGGTGATAGGTTTATACAGCATACACCCGTCGATGGCTGAATGTAGCCGAAACTAGTAGTGTATTTAAATGATGTTTTAAATCTTTTAATATTATTTTATTATTATAATTGTGAGTGACTGTAATTTTTAATATATATTTTAATATACGAATCACAATATGACACAATTACAATATCTTATTTACAGACTAATGCACACACATGAAGGGTGCCAAATAATTCACTTTAATAAATTGGAATTTCTTCTGATGTTACCATGGCAGTACAACACAATCCGTTATGTTTGTTATCCAACCCATTGATAGATTGTAGCATGAATAGTTGAATGATAGATCACAGTATTGATGTGTACATGTGAACGTCAAATGAAATGACCTTTGTTAGGGCCAGTGGTGTCTTCAAGTATGATTCCATTTTCTGGTCCCACCTCATGACTGGGCATCCAGTTTAGGGAATTAAAAAGTGTTATTGAGGACTTGCCTTATTTGGCATAATCTCCATATCAAATTTCATAAAAATCTCAGCCATTCCCAAGTTATTATATGGATGAAACTGTAGTTCATAAAACCACTGATAAATGGCAGCACAACCTCTTCAGCTCACAGATATGACACATACTGACAGAATGGGCCCACAAGGTGTTCTTCACTTACTCTAGAGCGAAAGGAACACCTAAGGAACCTAGCTGCTATTGATTCCTGGGTTATTTAATGGTGGTATTTTAACTTCATAGATTATGTAGTGTCAAATGGTAAGACAGATGTAGTTCAAAAGAAAGAAAGGGTGTTGTAGGAAGCAGTTGGGACTATTTTTAAGGTGCTGTTCTGGCATTTTGCTTACAAGAACTAGGGAAAGCCATGAAAAATATCAGTCAGGATAGCCAGTCTCTAGTACACTGTTCAGACTCAGGAGTTCTCCAGTAGGAAGCTGGAGTGATATTCAGATCACCTCATTTGGAAGTTGAAAGATACCAGATGGATGAGTGTAATATACACTGTAGGCATTGGAAATAAAGAATTATCATCTTGGCTTGATGGATGCAATTTTTAACTTATTCAGGCCAACTCCTAACCATGAAGAAAATGTTTCGAGTATCTCATTGGTATCCAGACACATTCCAAATGTCATGATCTTTAATTCTGTGTAGAAGTTGTTACAAATTGCTTTCAGCATCCATATTTCTGAACATTTCGCCTCTGGTGGCATTTTTTCATTCACAGACCATTGTATTTTGCAGATGTAGTTGGTGAATACCCTGAAGAGCTGCGCCCTGAGAGAGTTCTGAACTTCACGGAGGTCATAGCCATCTCTGCTGACAAGGACACCAGAGGAGTTGAGAAACTCAAGCATAGAATACGAGATGAATTAGATTTCCATGCAGCGTTGCAGAAGAAAGACTTAGAGACAGAGGTGATTGCTACTCTTCGAGCACAAATGAATCCTAAAGGACCACAAATGCTGTGAATATTTTATTTTCTTCCTGCAGTTAGTGTTTTATGAACAAGTGAATGAGGAAATGGAGAGCTTCCAAGAAAGCTGATCCATGTTTTATGGCAAGTGGCTTATGTATATTTGTGCAGATTGTTCATCCAGTTTCATTTTTCTTATTTTTACTAATAAAAATATGCATATAAAATAATGATTCCTGTGGGTGTATGTCTCCCTTCACTGCAAGTAACCTTTAATACAATTAATGGATTCTCATTAAATGTGGTATGAACATCATGCATCTTTGTATCCAGTCACATCAGAACCCCAATGATGGGACAGAGTTGGTTCCCGAAACCTCAGTTTACTACTGTAACCAGTTAACGCGGCTGATTGCCCAAGAAGATTTTATTGATCTTTGTACTTCTTATAAAATAAGTAAACAAACAACAATTAACACTATAAAAAGACACTATTGCCATACGCGTTTCAAACTCAAGAGGTCATCATCAGTGGCATCAAGGAAATTAATTCATTTACCCTTTGGTAAAATGTTAGATATTCTAGAAAAATTCCATTTATACAAAAGTAGTAAACACGAAGCCATCATTAACGAACAAAACGCCCAAAATTCTAACGTATTATTTGACCTAGCATTAAACAGGAGAAAGTAAAATTTTTCAATAGTTGGCCACCCTGATTTCGAGCTTATATATATATATATATACCCCACACATTCCAACCGACAGCCTCTCACCCACGAATCTGGAGTTCACAGGTACGGACAACTTAACCACAGCTCGCCGCAGACCAGCTACGGCCACCGAACAATCGGATCAATAGCTAAGTGCATAGTTCTACTCTGAATAACAACATCTAATACAGTATCACTTGATATACTTTTGTGAAACACCTTATTTATTTCTAAATCCAGTTTAAACCATTTGATTAAATGAATTAATTTCCTTGATGCCACTGATGATGACCTCTTGAGGTTGAAACGCGTATGGCAATAGTGCCTTTTTATAGTGTTAATAGTTGTTTGTTTACTTATTTTATATTCTAATATACTACACAGTATGCAGTGTTTTAAGATTTGTACCTCTTAATTCATTGTTTTCAATATCACTAATATGGTAATGAACAGTCAGTATGGTGTCTGACTGCAGACTGTACAACCAGGCTATGATCCAGTACAGGTGCAAGGGACATATCTTGTAGCCTCTGGATTGTTCTGGGGCCCACCCAACCTCCTATCTGGTGGGTATTAGGCCAGGATGTGACACTGACCAGTCACCCACATCTAGTGCTGAGGTCAACAATGTGTAGATGTACCCCTACTCTCCCCACAAGTGTCACCATTGTGTGGAGTGGGACAGCTTTTAAAAAAAAAAAAGTTGTCAGTGGAACCATGGTTCCGGAGAATTTGACGTAAATACGTCTATACGGAAAGGAAGTTAATATATTGGCTTTATTCTAAATATTTCCTTTATACATGCTTTACAATTGAGTAAAGTTTGATTAAGACATTGCTTATTTAACTTGAATAGTTACGCTTAAGATGGGTCTGTGATAGATGAATGTAATGTAAAGTAATGTAAGGTAAGGTAAGGTAAGGTAAGGTAATATAATGTAAGGTAATGTAATATAATGTAATGTAATGTAGTCTTATGATGTATCTGTGCACGTATATACACCAAGGTAATGTAATGAAATGTAAGGTAAGGTAATGTAATGTAAGGTAATGTAAGATAAGTTAAGGTAATGTAATGTAATGTAATGTAAGGTAAGGTAAGGTAATGTAAGGTAACTATGTAGGTAACCATTGTTGTTTATTTGTTGATAAACAGATGACGTTTCCAAGGTAACATAACAATGAAGTTACACTTTTTCGTTTCCCAGGTAACATAACAATGAAGTTTGACGTTTCCTAGGTAACATAACAATGAAGTTACAAATTTTCGTTTCCCTTTTTCGTTACATTTTTGCCGAATGACACTGACCCTAAAATATAGACGTATTTACGTCAAAAAGCTGTGAAGACTTTTGGGGTGGGAGCAACAAATGTGATTTAACTTTTGTGATGACAGATTTTGAAAGAGTAACTTTAACTGGTATGAGCCAGGATAGCTCAGTGAGTATAGTGACTAGCTACGGGCTGGACGGCCGGGGTTCGATCCCCGATGGGGGCAGAGGATTTTTCCTCTAGCCTCTGCATCCAGAATGGCTCTGGGGCCCACCCAGCCTCCTCTACAATGGGTACCGGGGTCATTTCCCGGGGGTAAAGCCGGCCGGGGCGTGATGCTGACCACTCATCCCCATCTAGTGCCAAGGTCAAGAATGAGTAGGAGCTATACCTCCACTCCCCCCAAGCGCCTACATGGCGTATACTGGGACAGCTTTACTTTACTTTAACTGGTCTTTTTTTACAGTACAATATGGCAGTAATGTAAAAATCTGTAAGGATTTCCATTTAATAGTGGTTACTAATGAACAGTTGATGCAAATTGATTATAAGCACACTTGAGAAATGTTTATATGTTTACAATTACAAATATGTTAGTGTGAGAAACTGTTATTTTGAGAACTATCAGGTAGCAGGAAATAATATTAATTGGAATCATGCACAGCAACAAATCACAAATTTGTGTAATTATTAATTATCATGTTAACTTGTGTATACAGATGATACTACTAAAAAGAATGTAAGCCCCAGCATTCTTCTTTGAACTTCTTGTTTGTAAATAAAGATTTTCCATATGAAAATTATTTATTGGAGGTCCTTCATTGTTTTAAGTTCAACATTTGTTAGTATGCAATTCATGTCTTGTTTTTGAATCTAAGAAATCAGATACAGAGTCTTTGGACTCTTGAAGCCCTCTAAAATGTCTTGATGTGATGGGTTAGAAGACTTCTGAATGTTAAACCTTAATTATACTGTGACATACAGTTTTTATAGTTTAAATGACTAATTTAATGAATAAGTGATAGGATGATACTCTTCCTTGAGAAGCTAATAGTATTAGAACTGATTCCCCACTATTTATGGAACCTGAAGGTGCATTACTGTGCTTACAATACCCTGATGCTGGATCCTTTCATGAGTAAGATCAATCTGTTCCATGCTCTCGCACCATTTGTTTAGATCCATTTTAATATCCTCACATCTCTGTCAGGGTATCCCAAGTGATATTCTCCTTTCAGATTTTCTGTCTAAAATATTGTGTGAATTTTCCACATTCCCTGTGTCTGCTACTGACCATTACTCAAGAGAAAAGATTTGACTTTACCAATATGGACTTATGCAGAAATCTGACTGCAGTAAATCTGTGGCTAGAAACCAATATATTCCAGCTCAGCAAAAATGCACTGTATCCCAACCAAGTTGTGTGTGCACATTAATAATAATAATCCGTGGTGTAACAGCCCTATGAGAGCCAAAGCCGACTAGCTGACTGCTGGCCTGATGTTCACGTGCCTAAGTGGAGGTGAACGATCATCCAACCAGATATAGGGTGATGTGTGGTCAGCACGACGAACCCCCAGCCATTACTAGCTTTCCTGACCGGATTACGCTACTTATTTGTAGCTACTAAATTTCCTCACGATGCTGGGTTGGCACCGGTCCCATACACTGGTCGAAAGCTCATGAGAAAATTTCTTCTCGCCTGAGACTCGAACCAGCGCATTCCGCATCACCAGTCCAAAGACCGCGTGGCTATGACACCAACTTTTCAAATCCTTCCCCTATTTGTTTGTGGTACAAACTGAACACTTTACAAATTGACAGCAGTCAAACATTATAACTATAACAGTTTCTTGTGTACTTGTATTCTTTTCCTACATTATTGATGTATTGTTTAATACTACATTTGTAGTTTTGCCATGAACTACCAAATGCTGCAAGTTCACAAGCCCCATCATTCAATGCAACTTTATAGAAGCCTCAGCAGTCTCTGAAGAACTTTCAAAAATGTTTGTTTTGTTCACTGAACTTGAAAGGTGGAGAGAGAAAGTTCATTATTTCACATAGAGTTTTATGCAGATTTATTACCCCTGCCAATATACTTTAGGCCATAAACTAATACAAAATTGACTTCATAATTCCCATGTCTGTTGAGTTTTGAAGTCATAGATTTTGCACTGCCACATTCACTATAAGTCAAATGTAGTTCTGGAGCAAGTCCTTTCTAGAATCTACTGATTCAATGATTGTAGTGGAATTTTCTGTTACAAAACTTCCACATTACTAATTTATAGCTGCACAAGCCCAATACCAGCAATGATATTTACTCTACTACCTGCACTATCACAAGCATCAGATGTAATTTAGAAGTGTATAAATATACAAGCTGCTTCTTACAATGAAATGATGCAGCTGGTTAAGCTGAAACCTCATGTAAAGTTTTGTTTATTTACAGACCCCACCTAGTAATTAATTCACACAAAATTTCAGCTGCTGTTATGCTATACAAGGGTGTGGAAATTTTGCCGATTCTGAATGTTCATTTCAAATTTGCACCAACACAGGTGCATGACAGTGTGCCTAGCAGTGGTACTATATTTCCCATTGCATTCCAATTAAGTCCATAAGCCAAGCACTGAGAAGGCTGTGAAGTACTTCAGGTATATCATGCACACAAATATATTGAATAAGAATGTTCATAGAAAACATACATTTTATATTAGGAATCAAACAGAGCTCATAAAACGTGTACAAAAAAATTGTACACAAATTTAAGCACTATAATTATCACAGACACATAAAACATCAATGACATGCTTGTCTTGATCTGTGACTTCACATGCTTGTAACAGGACAGTTTTGTATGTGCAACACAAGACAATGCTTGTAGGCTACGGTATTTTTACTGTATCGGCAATTACATCGAAACGGTGCAAACTTTTACTAGTGTTCACACGTTTCGGATTTGTTACCGTATTGCGACGCACTCGCTCCCGGGCCAGCTCCCAAGATGGACGTGAATACGTTTCTCCTCATGTACTGGTATCGTCGTCGTCAAATTTTTATCTCTGCTTCTGTGCCAATTCTTCGAAGTTCTCTTTCAGTGCCACACATATTTCCCTCCATGCACATTCCTTTAATTTCTTGTATTTGTAGGATCCCAATGTCTTATCCCATATTGCAGGCCTTTCTTCTATAGTAGGGTTATTAACAGTTCCGTGTTTATTCCATTCATCGCACGTAGCTGTAGCGTACAAGTGCGCTGTACCGACTGGTCGGCAGCCTCGGAATGCTTTCCTCTACGGTAGGAAAACCGAATTGTCTGAACGCACTCCATTACAATACATGCGCTACTGGCGACCTATTCGCTTTTTGACGTAAATACGTCTATATTTTAGGGTCAGTGTCATTCGGCAAAAAGTGAAACGAAAAAGTGGAACGAAAATGTGGAACGAAAAAGTGGAACGAAAAAGTGTAACTTCATTGTTATGTTACCTAGGAAACGTCAAACTTCGTTGTTATGTTACCTTGGAAACATCATCAGTTTACTCAGCATTGTTGTTACCTAGCAAACGTCTTCTGTTTACTCGGCATTATTATTACCTAGGAAACGTCTGTTTACTTAGCATTGTTGTTACCTACAAAATATTACATTACCTTACCTTACATTACCTTACCTTACATTACTTTACATTACATTACTTTACATTACATTACTTTAACTTACCTTTCCTTACCTTACATTACATTACATTACTTTACATTACATTACTTTAACTTACCTTTCCTTACCTTACATTACATTACATTACTTTACATTACAGTCATCTACCACAGACCCATCTTAAGCATAACTAATTCAAGTTAAATAAGAAATGTCTTAATCAAACTTTACTCAATTGTAAAGCATGTATAAAGGAAATATTTAGATTAATGCCAATATATAAACTTCCTTTCCGTATAGACGTATTTACGCCAAATTCTCCGGAACCGTGGTTCCACTATCACTTTTTTTTACCGTATCGCATCTTTCGGTTTCCAGTGACAAAACCGAATGTCATCAGCGACCGATTCGGTGCTTTTACCGTACATGGTCGACAGCCGTTTCATGTGAACATTCACATATAACGTGCATTGCCACTGTGGTGTACGGTAAAATAACCGATTCGATAAAACGGCCGATCCGGTGTCGTGTGAACGAGTTCTAACAGGACAGTTTTGTCTGTGCAACACAAGACAATCTTGCAAATTAGGAATATGTGCAAATAAACCTTTATTTTGATGTTTATGTTGCATAATAAAGACAGGCAATCTGTGGTCTTATGAACAGTGATGTTCCTGAAGAGAGTGAGACACCATTCAGGAAATACAATAATTCCTCAGTGACTTAAAATAACACATAAGAAATTATAAATTTATTGCCTGAAATAAAACAGAATAAAACAGTGTTATAAACAATGGGAAAATAATTTTCTTTCCTTCATTGTACTTTCTTTTAGTGTAAGTTACTGAAGGACACTGAGGTGTTCAATTTTGTTGAAATATTTTGAATAAATGAGTTCCCTTTCAGATGACAAGTCAAGCGAGCTGAGAGTATAAGCTTCATTATAAACATTCATATGAATGAAATTCCATAAAGCAAGGATTGACTGTACGTGTTTCACACATGCTATTCATGTGAAACATTTCTGTGACAATTACAGTGCAAAATTGCGTACATAATTTTTTTTGTTTTGTTTGGTTCCTAGTATAAAATGTATGGTTTGTATGTTCTATGTATATAGATATAAATGTTTTTCATAACCTTATCAGCGCCATTCCCTTCTTAGAGGTTTGGAAGCAGACATAATTTCCTTTGCCTCTGAAGTAATATTACACACATTCTATCTTGTCCTTCAGTATTTTACCCTAAATAACGTTTCAGGAATAAACATCTTAATTCTTGGCATAATTATTAACAAAACAAAATACAGTACATACAGTACACTTAAATCACCTGAATTTGAAACACAAAAAGCTCGTTACCATTTGTAAACGACATTTGTCTCTAGCGAAAGCTTGACTTTACTTTACCGATCGATAATTTATTACGGTACGATAAACATAAGAAATTACGTTCTCAACTTTACCTTTGATACCACCACGCGTTGTACATGGAAATGAGAACTTCATACTACGTCACACTCCAGGCGACAAATGCATGCGAATCATCCGTAATTGTTTTTCCGGAAGAAGTCACATAAAACCGGAGGAGGTAGGTAGACAAGCAAGAAGTGTTCAAACTACATTCTTTGCAAGTTCGTAAGCATTTCTGTATTTCCATATTGTTGAATTTAATTTTGTTCACATGGTTACTCATAGAAGAGGTTAGTAGCATATGGCATAAGACAACATTAGTAAACGGAAAAGTTTGTTACGTCAACTGTTACATTGTTATATCGTTCCTATGGTTACCGTCACGTTTTCTCGAAGAGACAGCTGTGAAAGTGAGTTGTGTTTTTCTGTAAAAAAACTATCCACAGTTTCAATATTCCAAATTTGATGGCGCTGGAGTGTGAAAAATATTGTACAATAAACACGGGCCGGTTTCTCAGCAAGGTAAGTGAAATTTTATTCCGAAGGGTTCTGGTGATGGTTTAAAACAACCTGGATTATTGGATTTTTGGATTTTGTGCATCGTCACGTGTTATAAAATTGCACGATTCGAGGAGAGGATCTGCTTTCGTCTGGTGATTGAAATTAGCGTATTTTAAAGAACCCGAACAGAGTTGGTGCCCTTACCTTCACCAAAAATGAAGATGAGGGAAGAAACCCCTGCTTTGAAAACGTTTACAGGCCAGAAAAATTTGATGGCGGGGAGTGAAATTCAATTACTGCTAAATTATTGTCAAGAAACTTCCAGAAGGAAAACGACCACTGAGCAGACCAAGAAGGAGATTGGAGGATAATATCAATTTGGATCTTAGGGATGTGGGCTGTGAGAATGGTAAATGGATGGATTTGGTTCAGGATCGAGTCCCGTGGCGGGCTTTGGTGTTGTCGATGTTGGACATGCGAATTCTGCTACCAGGAAGTTATATATATGTCAGCTCACATTGTAAAGAAATCAAAATAAAGTTTACATACAAAGTCAATATCGCGGTATTTCGAAATTTATGTTTATTTATTCCTCGATTTCTCCCGGAACCCATGACGATGTTTTGCGGAACCCTAATTGGGGAACACTGATTTAAGCTCTCGTGCCTATGAGACATTCTTTACTCGTAATCAAAATCAACTCCCGCATGTCCCATACGTCCGTCAGCCTGTTCCGTTTCA